AAAAAAATAACAAACGTATAATTGATTTTAATTGTATAAACACCAAATTGATCTGGAAGAACAGTAGTGAATGAATATGAACCATTCTTTAAATTTTGTGCAAAATCTAAAATAACAGGAGTGACATATCGATATTCAACCTGAACATCATCTGCAATATATCCACTAACAATTCCATTCATTGTTTGTTCAATATCAAATGAAACAGTAACAGTGTCATTAGTGAAAAACATACCTTCATTTTCAATATCAGGTACACCATCAATTTTAATAATTTGAATATTTTTAAGTTCTAATTTACCATGTGTTTTCATTGACCATTGAAGAAGGGGTTGAATAAATTGTTTATTTTTCTCAAAATAAGTATTATTTAACATGTCAATACTTCCAAGTATTGCTAGTCTTCCATTTGTCAAACTTTGAAATGTAAAAGAAAGAATCTTATTTGGTGTTGACTTTAATAATGGTACAAATGCATTTGAATCAGGTAATGTAAAACTAATTCCACGATAATAAACAGTAGTTATTGGGAAAAGAGAATTAGAAAGAGTTGGTATATCCTTTTCAATAATATCAGTTGATGGTGATAATTTTACTTTAAATAATTCAAGGAATGATTTAGTTTCTTTGGTATAAACAGGAGAATATGCCATAAATACATTACCTCCTTGTGCAATGAATGATTTCAATGTTTGCTTTTTAATATATGCAAAATTATATTTTGGAGCTAATATATAAACAGCTTCATAATTAAATTCACCATATGATTCAAATACAATAGGAGTATCCATATCAACTGTTTCAACTAATTTTCCTTCGTCTAAATTGTGGGTAATCATTAAATGTTAATTGAGTTGATAAATTACTACAAACTCTTTAGCATGGAAATTAATTGAGAAAATGAATCTGCTTGTTTTTGAAATTGTAAAATAAGAAGAACTGGTTTTGTCTCATGGGCAAATGAAAATGCAATGAAGAAAAATAAATAGACAATGAAATTCATTTGTTGATTTGTCCTTTACTATTTGAAGTTCTTTTTTTTCAAAAATAATTTTTAAGAATTGAAAAGTTTGAAATATCAAAACGAAAACCAGAACTTAAAAAGATGCAAAAGAAAAATAGAAATGACTCAAAATAATAAGAGAATAGATATAAATCAATATGGTATTGTATTTTGTGATGAAGAAGGTGTTAGGATCGAATATTTTGATGAAAATTATATTTGTATTATCAAACAAATCTATGTTAAAATTCCATATATTAAATCAGTATGCTTAATTAATGAAAAAACTATTGGATATTGTTGTTTTGCTTCAAAAGAAACTTCCCCATGCACAGTTTATATTCATAGTTTTGATATAAAAGAAAGAACAGCTAATAATAATCATGCAATTATTTATAAAGATGACATCAATTCTCATTTAAAAAGACTTAATTTTAAACAAGAAATAAAATGGATTCAAGTCTATCAAGATGAACTTTATGTACTTCTTGAAACTGATCTAATAATACTTTCAATTAATGACTTTTCTATTAAATGGAATAAGTCTATAGAAGATCCATCATTTGTTGAGATTGGATTTCCTAATGGACAATTTATTGCTTCTACACTTCATGGTAATACCATCAATTTTATATCAACAGGTAGTATCTCAAATTTCCCTTTTAGTATTAGTCAAAATACTATTAAATTTATTAGAATTATGAAAGACAATACTGCATTTATTGGACTTGGAGAGATAGGAATTATTCATAGTTTTGTAATGAAAACAAATAACCAGATAACTTTAAAATTTGATAATAATTATGATGATTGTATTTTTATTGAAAAGACATCAAAATATTATATTGTCTGTGTTTCAAATAATGTAAGTATTAAAATTATGGCATTTGAAGATACAAAATCAAGAACAATTAAAGCAATAGACTCATTTGAATTAGATAAATCATATTTACCATGTTGTAGTATTGTTAATGAAAAAGAAAAATTCATAGCTATTATCACAAAGAAATCAGTGATTTATTTTACAAATGAATTTAAATTTAAAACAGAGAAAAAAATAAAATTAGTTAAAATTTAACTGAATATTATTGTGTTATAATTTTTATTACTTATTAGAGGCAAAAGAGGAATGTTGTTTATTCTCTTTAAAAAACACATCTTCTTCTTTTAATTCGGGAAAACGAGTTATAAGATAGTTGATAATTTGGTTTTGAATAATTATTGATGTTGTTTTTGTCCAGACAACAATCAAGTTATTTGATTTCTTTATTGAAACTGAAATTCCATTCACAATCCCATAGTCTGACAACTGTTTTTCTTGATTTGAAATTATATCAATCAAAAACTCTTTCCAAATTCGACTAGTTGCCTCCTTTTCACATTTAATTGTAATTGTTGAACCATTTTCGTTTTCTTTGTCTTCCCAACATGGTTTAATTCCATCTTTCATGAAATGAATTGAAACTTTTTGGTCTTGAAGTAGTTCAAGTGAGGGAAGACAACCAAAAGCTTTCCAGAAACTTTCAATAGAATTACAAGAAACTATCTCCTTTAAGTTGTCAATATATTCTTCAAATGTACCATTTTTATCATTAAAATTATCAACCCAAAAGGTCCAACAAAAAGCCAATGGGTGTTCTACAACTTCACAAGACATAAACACTTTTCTCTTTATTTCTGACACCCACTTTAATTATAATGACTATTTTTCTTTAAATAAAATCCTCAAATGGTTGTCTTTTCTTCTTGATAAAAAGTGGATGTTTTGAACTTAAAAATGAAATGGGAATAACATCAACACAAACCCAACTAGCAATAAATAAGTTAAAACAAATCAATCAATCCCAAAAGGAATTTATTGAAATATCTTCTCAAATGATAGAACAAATTGAACAGAGTATTTCTGAAATGGTACAATCATATGAAGAGAAATTAAAATTCTTAGAACATGAAAATAAAGAAATCAAACAACAACTTGATGATGAACGAAATAATCATAAAAAGTTATTAGAATCACAAGGTTTTTCTCTTGAGAAAAACAATCAAGAAAATGACACAAGTAAACAAGTCATAAATAACCAAAATGTAGAGAATATTGAATCAGAAAAAAATGATTGTACAACACCTGTTGTTG